GACACCACAGTTCAAAGGAATCCACTTTCTGTTAGCTTTCTTCACTATGCAGCTTTTACGCCCATAAATGAGGAATACTGTGGCACGAATACTGTGAGCCTGTTCGTGGGGAGGGCCGGGTAAAAATGTTAAAAATAAATAAAGAAATAAAGAAATCGATGCCGAATACTGTGGCATGAATTCTCTTGATGCCGAATACAGTGGCATGAATTCTCTTTATGCCGAATACAGTGGCATGAATTCTCTTGATGCCGAATACTGTGGCATGAATTCTCTTGATGCCGAATACAGTGGCATGAATTCTCTTGATGCCGAATACAGTGGCATGAATTATCTTGATGCCGAATACTGTGGCATGAATTCTCTTGACGCCGAGTACTGTGGCATGAATTCTCTTGATGCCGAATACTGTGGCATGAATTCTCTTGATGCCGAATATTGTGGCATGAATGATCTTGATGCCGAATACTGTGGCATGAATTCTCTTGACGCCGAATACAGTGGCATGAATTATCTTGATGCCGAATACTGTGTCATGAATTCTCTTGATGCCGAATACTGTGGCATGAATTCTCTTGATGCCGAATATTGTGGCATGAATGATCTTGATGCCGAATACTGTGGCATGAATTCTCTTGACGCCGAATACAGTGGCATGAATTATCTTGATGCCGAATACAGTGGCATGAATTATCTTGATGCCGAATACTGTGTCATGAATTCTCTTGATGCCGAATACTGTGGCATGAATTATCTTGGTGCCGAATACTGTGGCATGAATTCTCTTGATGCCGAATACAGTGGCATGAATTATCTTGATGCCGAATACTGTGTCATGAATTCTCTTGATGCCGAATAATGTGTCATGAATTCTCTTGATGCCGAATACAGTGGCATGAATTCTCTTGATGCCGAATATTGTGGCATAAATTATCTTGACCTTGCTCGCCAGCAGCAGGTCCTTACACTGAAGAATCTCTTCTAGCTCCTTCGTGGCTACCCTTCCCAGTCTCAATCTCTTTCCAGGACAGAAAAGATCAGGAGGTTGACTGGAATGGGTTTTAGGGACCGTATCACTCCAATCTTGGCTCACCTACACTGGCTTCCAGTTCGTTTCCAGGCACAATTCAAGGCACTGGCCTAGACCTTCAAAGCCCTATATGGTTTGGAACTAACATACTTGAAGCACTGCCTAATCCCGTATGAATCTGCCCAACCATGACATACATCTTTGGAGGCCCTTCTTTGGGTGCCTCCAACTTCTGAGATTAGGTGGGTGGAATCTGGGGACAGGGCCTTCTCAGTTGTGGCACCAAAGTTCTAGACCTCCCCCCGGGAGATTTGTCTGTACCTTTCTGTTGCCATCTTCCACCACAGGGGGAAGACTTTTTTGTTTTGTTTGGCATTCCTTCAATGTCCCCTCCTTCTTAATCAATGCTTTAATTGCTGTTTTTATTTTATTATTATTATTATTATTTAAAATAAAAGAAGATTTATTGAAACTGTTGGTCATATACGTTTCCTATTTCACTCCAGTCTGTCACTCAGACTTTCATTTAACTTTTGTTTCCTTATACATTCAACTTTTCTTCATACACAGAACTTAACTCTTGTATCACACACAAGACTGTCTCTCTCCCTCAGACCTCAGAACGAACTAACTTATCAACTGTCTTTATCAACTGTCAAACCTCTAACTGTCACTCCTGAAGGACATACCCATTCATCCACTCAGAAACCCTTTCTAAAACCCCTCCCCCTCTTTGTCAATCACCAATCACACAACACTTTTCTCTTCAAGCACTCTAGTCCATCACACAGCCATGCAACCAAACTTTTAAAGAGACACACAGACATATAAAACAAGGAATCATTACATATCCCCCCCTTGTCCTTTAAGTGGAACACATCTCTTTGTCCAAAGGGATGGGTGTAGCTTCTTCTGGCTTCATGAAGTTCGGATAGTCTTTATACTGCCAGTTCAGTTCAGTTGCTGTTTTTATGTTCTGTATGTATTTAAACTCTGCTCAAGTTCTTCTAAAAGTTGTTTTAATGATGTCCATTTGTTTTGATAGGGCTGATTTTGATGGTTTTATAATGTAATTTTATCATAGAATCCTGGAATCATAGAGTTGGAAGGGACCTCCAGGGTCATCTAGTTCAACCCCCTGCACAAGGCAGGAAATTCACAAATGCCTCTTCCCCACAACCCCAGTGCCCCCTGCTCCACGTCCAGAAGATGACAAAAACCCTCCAGGATCCCTGGCCAAACTGGCCTGGAGAAAATGACCCCAAAGTGGCGATCGGCATCTCCCTGGGCGTGTAACGAAGGGCCACAAGAACCAAGCGCTGAGGCAACCCTTCCTGCCCTCCCTCCCTCCCTCCCGCTATCGTGTATGTTCTGAATGGTTATCTGCCTTGGTGACCCGTTGTAAGGACAGAAAGTAGGGTTGGCAGGTCCGTTTTCATCCCCAGCAGGGGGCGTTCCCAGAGGGGGTGGGGTATCCCCAACGTGATGATGTCCCATTGGGGACGTCCTGGCTCCAAGCCCTGCCCCTGCAGGGACGGTCCCACTGGCTGTGAGCTGCAGCCGGAGGGCCCTGCCTGCCCGATTGCTTCCCCGCTGGCTGCCTGCACTTAAAGGGGCTCCCTTTAAGTGTACGCAGGGCTATTTTGGGGCAGGAACGCACAGGAATGGAGTTCCGGCTGGCTCCCGAGTTGGCCACACCCCGCAGGAACTCATTAGCATAACAGGCCACACCCAGCAGCAGAAACCCATTAGCATAATAGGCCACACCCAACAGCAGGAACTCATTAGGATTGGCTACATTAGGGGTGTGTGGCCTAACATGCAAAGGAGTTCCTGCTCCAAAAAAAGGCCCTGGGTTTTGACAACAAACAAGGTAAACAGAATAAGAAGCAAAAGGTGGGTGTGGCTGGATGACCACACTTCTGGTAACACGGGGGTGCGGCCTAATGTGCTAATGAGCTGTGCTGTCATGGGTGTGGCCTAATATGCTAATGAGTTCCTGCTGTTGGGTATGGCCTATTATGCTAATGGGTTCCTGCTGGGCATTTTCGACAAAAAGAGCCCTGAGTGCACGCAGCCGGAGGCTTCCACCTGCCCGATCTCCGAATGGCAAAAGAGAAGGGAGAGGGGTGGCTGCAGGTGTTTGGGCTTGGGGGCGGGGATTCCCCCCGGCCAGCCTGCCGGCGGCGGGTTGAACCCCCCCCCAAAAGTGGGTAATTCCCACCAAACTGGGGGGGGGGGGTCTGGCAACCCTAGCAGAAAGATAGGATACCAATTTCGTAAATCAACAAATATAAGTAAATAAATAGAACCTCCACGTGCAGGAACAGTATACTGCTGAATGCATGCTGCCGTAACAACAGGGGGAGACTTTGACCTCCGTGTCCTGCTTAAGGGCCTTCCAGGGCCACTGGGTTGGTCACTGTGTGAAACAGATTACAGGGCTGGATTGTCCATTGGTCCGATCCTGAATTTCATTCCGTCTCTAGGGTAGATAGTTGTGAGGTATTTGAAAGATCAAAACGACATGATACTCCTCACATGTGTTGGGTCACAGATGCGTGACCAGGCTCAGTCAGACGGACATTGGGGGGACTCACCTTAGAAAGCGCTCAGTGCTGCGAAGGGCGAGATGGTGCTTCCAGCCTCCCTCCCATTCAGAATTGCCAACCCCCCCGGGCAGGGAATCCATTTGCTCGCTGCCTCTCTGAGTGATGGTGTGGGAAATTTTAAAAAGAACAATGCCAGGTGTGGCATCCAGTAAAAAACCCCACAGATGTGATGTAGGGTAGCTCTAGGAATTGCCGGAAACTCAATAAATCTATGGTTTTACCATAAAGTTTCCGGCAATTCCTAGAGCTACCTGACGTCCCTTCCTGTATTTGTACTGGAACTAACAGGGGGCTACAGCTGGTGTTGTGGGCCTCCTTTATCCCCACCCACAGCTTTCCCACTGGTCTCCCGGCATTGTCTCCCCTCCATTTTGGCTCTGCATCTTGAGATTTTACTGCACCTCCGCAAACTGCACATTGGACCCTGAGAGGTTACAAGCCCGCCTATCTCTGTCACTGTTTCTACACACCTTCTACACATCAATTGGGTGGACATCTCCTGGGATTGTGACTGTCTTTAGGGCCCCAATCCTCTTTTCTATTTCAGAGGGCTTTTCTGTTCAGGTAAAAGTGTCGCACTGTACAAAAGGCTTCACCAACTTACTCGGAGAAATGATTAGAGACTAGGTGAGCCAGTTTGGGGTAGTGGTTAAGTGTGTGGACTCTAATCTGGGAGAACCGGGTTTGATTCCCCACTCCTCCACTTGCAGCTGCTGGGTGACCTTGGGCAAGCCATAGTTCTGGCACAACTGCTCTTGAAAAAGAGTGGTTCTCGAAAGAGCTCTCTCAGCCCCACTGACCTCACAGGGTGCCTGTTGTGGGGAGGGGAAGGGAAAGGAGTTTGTAAGCCGCTCTGAGACTTCCTTGGGAAGTGAAGGGCGGGGGATAAATCCAATCTCTCCTTCTTCTTCTTGTCTGTCCTGCTGTGTGTAACTTATTTGTAAATAGGATCCTCGTATGTAGTTTCTGTACCGTTTCATGTGTCATGTGAATACTTCTGCTCTGCTTCAGTTCTTTCTGGTGGTTCCAGACTTCTAAAATCCTAACGTGTTGGTTATTGAATGCCCAAGGTTGCCAACTCTGGGGTGGAAAACACCTGGAGACTTTGTGGGTGGAGCCAGGAGAGGGCGGGGTTTGGGGAGGGGAGGGGCATCAGCAGGGCATCATGCCATAAAGTCCACCCTCCAAAGCAGCCATTTTCTCCAGGGTAACTGATCTCGGTTGTAATAGCAGATCTCCAGGTGCCCCCTGGAGGTTGGCAAGGCTCTGGAATGCCCCATTTTGTCACCTGTACTGCCTCTCTGTGTGTAATTGGCCTTGAGTCCTTGTGGGCGATCAATAACGTTCATAAAATAAAATAAATTTTCACATCAATTTTATTGATGAAAATGTAGATGGTGCCACGTGTATCGTGACCTCTGATGTTGGTCACATGTCGAGATCGTTTTTTCTGGAATGTTCTGGATTTCTCTGGTGATGGGCGAGAGGGAGTGGATCATGGCCTCTTGGGTCCACCGCTGGTCGGGGATGCCATGACTTGGGCGTGGCAGGCCTGCGCCAGGCCACCGATGAGGTTCAAGAACTCGCCGAAATCCAAGGAGCCGTCATTGTTCATGTCGAGTTTCTTCATCATGCGATCCACGATGGCTGGGTCCTTCTGGTTCTGAAAGGAACAGAGGAGGGTTAGAGGGAGGTTTATGGGGGGGGGGGATCTCAGACTTGTCTGAGACCCGGACATAAAAACATAAGAGAAGCCATGTTGGATCAGGCCAGTGGCCCGTCCACTCCAACACTCTGTGTCACGCAGTGGCTCAAAACCAGGTATCATCAGGAGGTCCAGCAGTGGGGCCAGAACTCCAGAAGCCCTCCCACTCTTACCCTCCCCCCAGCACCAAGAAGACAGAGCATCCCTTGCCCCAGACATAAGAACATAAGAGAAGCCATGTTGGATCAGGCCAGTGGCCCATCCAGTCCAACACTCTATGTCACGCAGTGGCTCAAAACCAGGTATCATCAGGAGGTCCAGCAGTGGGGCCAGAACTCCAGAAGCCCTGCCACTCTTGCCCCCCCCCCCAAGCACCAAGAAGACAGAGCATCACTGTCCCAGACAGAGTGTTCCATTTAGACTTTGGGGCTAATAGCCACTCATGGACCCCTGCTCTTAAGAACATAAGAGAAGCCATGTTGGATCAGGCCATGTTGGATCAGTTCGACAGCCCTGCCCTAGAGTCAAATCCGTTTAATCCTATACAGTGAAAGCGGCCTTGAATTAAGCCGTGGGCCAAACGAATCTCTTGCGGTAGGATTGCTTTATGGCTATGTGGGCGGTACTTGCTGCGGAAAGTGGGCGGGGCTATCCTGGCTTCTGTAGCCCCACCCAATTTGGGGAGGGGTTCTGACCGTGCTCCATGATACTGTTGGGCCTTGCAGGTACTCTAGCAGGTTCAGCTCTGGTGGGCCCGTTTATGGCCAAGATTTCCTCTAAGGCAGGGGTGTCGAACTCATTTGTTATGAAGGCTGGATCTGACATAAATGAGACCTTGTTGGGCCGGGCCACGTGTGTCATAAAATGTAATGCCAGGTAGCGGAGATATAAACTTTATAAAGGACACAAACACAAAGGGTTTTTTTTTTACTTAAAATAAAAAAATGCTTAAAACATTAGCACTCTTGCAATATTTTGTTTATTTCACAGTATCTGATAACAGACACCTCTTGTTCTGATTGATTGCATCAAAACGTCTGTGCTGTTGCAATCTCGAGTATGCTGTTCAAGTGCGTATCTGTAAGCTGCAAACCTACTTTTGATTTATTGACATTCACCACAGAAATCTCAGGCTCAGAGCGCTGAGTCTAGGACCCAGGTTAAAACGTGAAATGGCGGAGTGATTAAGAGAGTCTGGCGAAGGAAGCTGTGATGCAGCAGCAGCAGCAGAACTGGAAGCAGGAGATGGCCAGTTCCACTGCGGGCCTGATGGAACCCCCCCGGGGGGCCTAATCTGGCCCCTGGGCTGCATGTTTGACACCCCTGCTCTAAGGTGTGGAGTCTTGTGAGCAAAAATTCTACTTTGTGAACTCCTGGCATTAAGAAGAGAACAAGAAGAAGAGATTGGATTTATACCTTGCCCTTCACTTGGAGTCTCAGAGCGGCTTACAAACTCCTTTTCACGGCTCTTTTTGTAGCAGGAACTCCTTTGGATATTAGGCGACACACCCCTAATGTAGCCAATCCTCCAAGAGCTTACAGAGCTCTTCTTACAGGGGCTACTGTAAGCTCTTGGAGGATTGGCTACATTAGGGGTGTGTCGCCTAATATCCAAAGGAGTTCCTGCTACAAAAAGAGCCCTACTCCTTTCCCTTCCCCTCCGCACAACAGACACCCTGTGAGGTAGGTGGGGCTAAGACAGTTCTCCCAAGAACTGCTCTTTTTCAAGGACAGCTCTGACAAAACTATGGCTTGCCCAAGGTCATCCAGCAGCTGCAAGTGGAGGAGTGGGGAATCAAACCCGGTTCTCCCAGATCAGAGTCCGCACACTCAACCACTACACCAAACTGGCTCACAATTAAAGTTGTGAGTGAGCAATTTGGCTACTGCATAAATTACTTTGCTCGGGAGCCCTCCTTCCTGAGCAAAGACAAAAAACGTGTGAGCCGGAGGCGAAAAAACTGCGAGCTAGCTCACACTGACTCAGCTTAGAGGGAACATTGGTTACGGTGGATGGCGGGGACGGGTTTCAGCCCTTCTGCCCGATACAAAGGGAACGTCCTACCTTCGTGAAAGACGCCAGCTCGGTGTCCATGAATGTCACAAACTCGCGTTTGGAGAGGGAACAAGCGTTGCCATCCCGGCCGGCGTAGCGCTGGAAGACAGCCAGCAGCGACTCGATGCAGCGTTCGGTTTCTGTAGGGCCACCGGCGTACTTTGACGACTGTGGATGACAGAGGTTTCAGTTTTTTATTTCGAAAACGACTCACCCTGTACCTGCTGGGGTATCGATAAGGCACTCAGACATCTGCTGGCCGTAATAGGAAATAAAGAGTATTCATCCTCAGATCACTCAATCGTTCCAAGTGCAGGGGATGACTCGCTTTCAAGGGAGGAGGCCTGTTGCATCTATGAATGAGTCACTCCTTTGGACATACCTCCCTCCAGCTGAGAGTCAAGCCTAGAACCAAGGGGCAGGTTAACACTAAGGGCCTCAGAGTAACGGTAGAGCCCAGCTGCTAGATCATAAGAACGTAAGAGAAGCCATGTTGGATCGGGCCAATGGCCCATCCAGGCCAACACTCTGTGTCACACGGTGGCCAAAACCTAGGGGCCATCCAGAGGTCCACGAGTGGGGCCAGAACTCCAGAAGCCCTCCCTCTCTTGCTCCCCCCAAGCACCAAGAATACAGCGTAACACTGCCCCAGACATAAGAGCAGAAGAGAAGCCATGTTGGATCAGGCCAATGGCTCATCCAGTCCAACACTCAGTGTTACACAGTGGCCAAAACCCAGGGGCCATCCGGAGGTCCACCAGTGGGGCCAGAACTCCAGAAGCCCTCCCACGGAAGCCCCCCAAGCTCCAAGAATACAGAGCATAACTGCCCCAGACATAAGGATGTAAGAGAAGCCACATTAGATCAGGCCAATGGTCCATCCAGTCCAACACTCTGTGTCACACGGTGGCCAAAACCCAGGGGTCATCAGGAGGTCCACCAGCGGGGCCAGAACTCCAGAAGCTCTCCCTCTCTTGCTCCCCCCAAGCACCAAGAATACAGCGCAACACTGCCCCAGACATAAGAGCAGAAGAGAAGCCATGTTGGACCAGGCAAATGGTCCATCCAGTCCAACACTCTGGGTCACACAGTGGCCAAAACCCAGGGCCCATCAGGAGGTCCACCAGAGGGGCCAGAACTCCAGAAGCCCTCCCTCTCTTCCTCCCCCCAAGCACCAAGAAGACAGAGCATCACTGCCCCAGACACTTCCTCTGCTCTGTATGTTTATCCAAAATTGATGCAAGGATCAGTCTAGTCTTCCTGTTTCCAGCTATGGCTGGTCTGATCTTTCGGTCTAGTCGATTTTTATATCCTGTCCTTCCTCTAAAGAGTTCAGGGTGTGTCTATTTTGACCTCACAACATCCCTGCAAGGTAGGTTAGGCTGAGGGAGAGAGACTGGCCAAAGTCTAGCTAAGTCAGCTTCACGGCAGAGTTGCAATTGGGGGTCTCCCAGGTCTCAGTCTGACATTTTAACCACGATGCTGCACTGGCTGTGGATCTGAAAACACGCTTGCCGCAAAGACTTTCAGGTGCGTGAATGAAAGGTGTCCGTAATCCCAATCTGGAAGTAAAAGAAGACCCTCTGCCGCTGTTTTGACAACACTGACGGCTAGTCAGATCTCACAAGCTAAGCAGGGTCAGCCTTGGCTAGGATCTGGAAGGCAACGTCCGAGCAATACCAGGGGTGCTATGTAGATGCAGGCAATGGCAAACCACCTCTGAATGTCTCTTGCCTTAAAAACGAATCTAGCTCGCCACCTAGTGGTGGATAACTCTAAAAAAGCTAGACCTTCTGGCTGCCAGACATAGGATCTCTTAGCTATACTACACAGTGCCATATGCAGAGGTCATTTTGGGGGTGATTGCGGGGGATCGCAGTTCCCCCGGGTGAGGTACGGGGGCGGGGCTTCTGCTTCCGCCCCCCCGCTTAGGGCCCTCATTCAGCCAGGAGGAGGCAGGAGAAGAGGGAAGGTAAGTTGCTTCCTCCCTGCCTCTCCCCACCCCTGCCTGCCTGGGGCCAGGAAGGGCCTTGGCGGGGCTTCCTCGCACTCCCGCCGGCCTTGCAGGTCCACCACCGGGCCCCTCATGGAGCTCGGCAGTGGAGCTGCAAGGCCGGCGGCGGCCAGGACCGTTGGGGGCAGGGTGTGTGGCCTTATGACACACTTCCGGTGATGTCAGGGGGTGTGGCCTTATGGCACACTTCCAGTGATGTCAGGGGGTGTGGCATATGCTAATGAGTTATGCTAATGACTTCCCCTAGCTCTTTTTCTATGAAACAACCCCTGGCCATACAATATTGTTGTTGTTGTTGATGATGATAATTCAGAGATGTAGCCTGTTAAGCAATATTCAGTGGAGTCTAATTCCACAGAGATCAAGCCAGAACGATTGATCATTCAGAATCAAGGCAGGCAGGTATCCCAGTGGGTATGAACTTCAGGCTGAAAGGAGCCTTTAATGATGAAATTAGAGTTGGGATTGTCTGGGGCAAGGGATGCTCTGTATTCTTGGTGCTTGGGGGGGGTCAACAGTGGGAGGGCTTCTAATGTCCTGGACCCACTGGTGGACCTCCTGATGGCCCCTGGTATTTCTGGCCACCGTGTGACACAGAGTGTTGGACTGGATGGGCCATTGGCCTGATCCAACATTGGCGTCTCTTACGTTCTTATGTCTGGGGCAAGGGATGCTCTGTATTCTTGGTGCTTGGGGGGGCAACAGTGGGAGGGCTTCTGGTGTCCTGGACCCACTGCTGGACCTCCTGATGGCTCTTGGTATTTCTGGCCACTGTGTGACAGAGTGTTGGATTGGATGGGTCATTGGCCTGATCCAACATTGGCTTCTCTTATGTTCTTATGTCTGTAGCAGGAGAAAAGAGCAAGAGTCCAGTAGCACCTTGAAGACTAACAAAATTAGTGATAGATCAAGATGGGTAGCCATGTTAGTTTGAGGTCCATCAGTGGCTCTTAGCCACAAGGTATAGATAGGAACTCTCAGGCTGGGTCAAGTGATGCTCTGTATTCTTGGTGCTTGGGGGGGCAACAGTGGGAGGGCT